GAAAAGAAGAATGAAAAGAAGAAGAAGAAGAAAAGAAGAAGAAAAAAGAAAAAAGAAGAATGAAATGAATGAAAAAAAGAAGAAGAAGAATGAGAAGAAGAAAAAGAAGAAAAGAAGAAGAAGAAGAAGAAGAAGAAAAAAGAAGAAGAAGAATGAAAAGAAGAAGAAGAAGAAGAAAAGAAGAAGAAGAAGAAGAAGAAAAGAAGAATGAAAAGAATGAAAAGAAGAATGAAAAGAAGAAAAGAAGAAGAAGAAAAAAGAAGAAGAAGAAGAAGAAGAAGAAAAGAAGAAAAAAGAAAGAAAAGAAGAATGAAAAGAAGAAGAAGAAGAAAAGAAAAAAAAAGAAGAAGAAGAAGAAAAAATGAAAAGAAGAAGAAGAATGAGAAGAAAGAAGAATGAAAAGAAGAAGAAAAGAAAAAAAGAAGAAAAGAAGAAGAAGAAAAGAAGAAGAAGAAGAATGAAAAAGATGAAAAGAAGAAGAAGAAGAATGAAAAGAAAAGAATGAAAAGAAGAAGAAGAATGAAAAGAAGAAGAGATAAGAAGAAGAAAAGAAGAAGAAGAAGAAGAAGAAGAAAAGAAGAAGAAGAATGAAAAAAGAAGAAATGAAAAGAAGAAGAATGAAAAGAAGAGAAGAAGAAGAAGAAAAGAAGAATGAAGAAGAAGAAGAAGAAAGAAGAAAAAGAAGAATGAAAAAAGAAGAAAGAAGAAAGAAGAAGAAGAAGAATGAAAAAAGAAAGAAGAAGAAAAGAAAGAAGAAGAATGAAAAGAAGAAGAGAAGAAGAAGAAGAAGAAGAATGAAAAGAAGAATGAAAAGAAGAAGAAGAAGAATGAAAAGAAGAAGAAAGAAAAGAAGAAGAAGAAGAAGAATGAAAAAGAAGAATGAAAAGAAGAAGAAGAAGAATGAAAAGAAGAAGAAGAAGAATGAAAAAAAGAAGAAGAAGAAGAAGAAGAAGAAGTAGGATGAAAAAGAAGAAGAAGAAGAAGTAGATGAGATGAAGAAGTAGGATGAGGATGAAGAAAAAGAAGAAGAAGTAGGATGAGGATGAAGAAGAAGAAGAAGAAGTAGGATGAGGATGAAGAAGAAGAAGGAGAAGAAGAAGAAGAATGAGGATGAAGAAGAAGAAGAAGAAGAAGAAGAAAGAAGAAGAAGAAGAAGAAGAAGAAGAAGAAATGAGGATGAAGAAGAAGTAGGATGAGGATGATGAAGAAGAAGAAGAAGAAGTAGGATGATCCGAATAAAAACATCTGTATCCTAAATGGAAACAAATAGATACAATGTTTCAACTGCTGTAAATGTGAAGGAACTGTCAGAGAACTGTCAGAAATAGCGGAGCTCTCTGCAGGGACACTTTTTTCCGGCGGATCGGGGAAAATTCGATTCGTGCATCCGAAGTTTGCTAATATTCGGATTCGACGCGAATCGAATTTTTCCTAATATTCGAAACGAATTCCACTTCGCCAGGTTCGATTCGTTCATCTCTATTTGTTTTCTTATGTGCTGCACTGTTTTTCATATACATAGCAATCTGCATTGAAAAGCACCAAACTGGCTGCAGGTGACCCCCTCTCTATTCAGCTCTCCTTCCACTCTGTAACATGTGCTTTCTACCACCCCTTCTGACAGTCCTTTCTCCTTCTACCAATCATTTCTTCACCCCTTTTCTCCACCCCCCAGTTTATATAAATCTCCCTACTGCACTCACCAACTCCTATATATGTTAAGTGCTGTGTAAGCTGACAGTGCTATATAAGTACCTGGAATAAATAAAATAAAAATACCTATAAAGCATGTAGTTGCACCTGTGTACTGGAGTTCCAGGTGCTAGGAGAAAATTATTTAGCTACTGCCAGTAGCACAAAAACCTGAACATTTTACAGCTGCATCTGAGGTCTTATTAAAAATAAAAATGGAGAGCATTTTAACTAGTTGCCGACCGCAGATAGCCGAATGACGGCTGCACTGCGACCGGCCAGTTCTGGGTGGACGTCATATGACGTCCTCCCAGAACGCGCTCTCCTGCACGCCCCAGGGGGCGTGCACCCGGCGATCTCCGTGATCGCTGTGTCCTAAGGACACAGCTGATCACATGATGTGGTAAAAGGCCAATCACAGCGGCCTTTTACCACGTGATCAGCGGTGTCCAATGACACGCTGATCACAGGGAAATGCAGCAATTGCCGGTTCTCGGCTGCACTTTCCTCACGCTGTCAGATCGTGAGGAAAGTACTGCCGAGAACCGGCAGTTGTCAGAGCGAGGATCGGCACCGATCATCAGAGCACTGATGATCAGTGCCCTGATGATCGGTGCCCAGCAGTGCCACCCACAAGTTCCGCCCACCTGTGCCCAGCAGTGCGCCCACTAGCTCCGCCCACCTGTGCCCAGCAGTGCACCCACCTGTGCCCAGCAATGCACCCACCTGTGCCACTGTGCAGTGTCACACACCTGTGCCCAGAAGTGCCCCCTACCTGTGCCCAGCAGTGCCACCCACCTGTGCCCACCCACCTGTGCCACCCACCCTGTGCCCACCCACCAGTGCTGCCCACCAGTGCCACCCACCAGTGAAGCCCTGCAGTGCTGCCAGTCAGTGCCACCAGTCAGTGCCAGTCAGTGCTGCCAGTCAGTGCCCAGCAGTGATGCCAGTCAGTGCCGTCTATCAGTACCCATCATCAGTGTCACCCATCAGTGTCACCTATCAGTGCCGCCTATCAGTGCTGCATATTAGTGCCGCCTATCCGTGACACCTCATTAGTGCTGCCTATCAGTGCCGCCTATCCGTGCCACCTCATTAGTACTGCCTATCAGTGCCCTTTAGTGCTGCCTATCAGTGCCGCCTATCAGTGCCCGACAGTGCTGCCTCATCAACGCACATCAGTGAAGGAGAAAAATTACCTGTTTGAAAAATTTTATAATAGAAACAAAGAAACTTTTTTTTTTTCAAATTTTTTGCAATTTTTTTTGTTTATAGCGCAAAAAGTAAAGCGCCCAGCAGCAATTAAATACCACCAAAAGAAAGCTCTATTTGTGAGAAAAAATGATCAAAATTTCATATGGGTACAATGTTGCATGACCGCGCAATTGTCAATCAAAGTGCGGCAGCGCTGAAAGCTGAAAATTGGCCTGGTAAATAAGGGGGTATAAGTGCCTGGTAGGCAAGTGGTTAAAGTATCGGCCAATGAACAAGATAACTGTAATGTAGCTCACCCTGGGAAGTGGCAAAACACCAATTTGGTTTATTCTATGTCAGCTTGACAGCTGGGACACAGTCAGCTTCCAAAGGTCCTCAACAACACACCCCAAGATTGGGTGTACCTTGTTCAACAACAATGCTGTTGGGTATTGGTAGTCCACACAGAGTAAACTAAGGATCACCGTAAACAAAAACCCCAAATGTATTGTCATCAATAAAAACCCAATGCATTTTGGAGCATATATTTTTTTACAATAGCACGGGGGGACTGGGAACCCAATACTGGTTTAAATTTATTCTATACATGTTTTATAATACTGAACATTTTTTTTCCTTTTGGATAGAGCACTAAATATTTTTTTTTTAACTTTAGGATTAGAGTGGATATAGGGTACAGCCTCTGCTAGTCCTTTTATTGCCTGAGCTCCCAAGGGGCTGATCACCACTCACCTCCTGTTCCAAACACAGGAAGGGAAGTGAGTTTAAATCTTCCCAAAGTGAGGAGAAATCTCACCTATGTCAGTCGCCACTATTGGAAGACTTCTCTACACCTCCAGCTCTGGTGACTAATGTAAAATTATGGATTTCCTCTTACTTACTGTCCATCGGACAATGGTCACTGTGAGTCAAATCAATCCAACGGGAATACAGACCACAGTAAAAGCCTGGCAGTGGTTCTAATCTTTCCTTTCTTTGTCTAAAAACAATTGGCCTAAGGTCCTTTTTAACATCTTAAACATGAAAATAATTGTCAGTAATTAGATATGTTTTATTAAGCTACAAGAAAAAAGGGGAATTTTGACTTTATGACCAAAAATATTGTTGCTCTAGAAATAGCTTTGTTTGCTATGAGCCTTGGTGATAGTCATATGAAAAATTGACCAACAACTGGCAGTTTTTCTAGGTAAAAGATAAAAAGTGGTTAACAAGCAAATGCATCTTATCTATAAAATGTAAGCAATCTCAATCTCAGTAATTGCATTGGTGCGTAATTACATCTAAGGTAGGTATCATTTGTACCACTCCTATGAGAAATGTGTACCATTCCTAAGAGAAATGTGATATTATTTAAACAACGAAAATATCTGTAGGTAATATTCACTGGTCTACAGTGTATAAATGTGTTCTTTGGTGTATGTGTGTTCCTTCAAAAACACAACTGGAAACACACTGTGAGTTTATTTTCATTATATTCAAAGAAGATTACAAGATAGATCTATGATATAAAACAATTAGTGTAGGTGTTTGCCATTGTAAGGTATGGACATATTTTTCAACTGCAAAATATGTATAATATGGATGTAAAATGAAGTCACGAGTTTTCTCTTTTCTAAGATTCTTCACTTTTGTCAAGAATAGGGATGAGTGAAGTGAGTGATTTTTTTTTTTTATGGATTGTGTAAAATTACTGATATCATGCTTGGAAAATGTTTGACAAAAATAGAAACTTGTAATTTAGTTTATTAACCTGCATTAATAAAATACTTTTTACTTTTTATTTCAGAGGTTTTTTTTGGAGGGGTACATTTAGTACAGTTCATTTTATTTAAAGTATGTTCTTTGTGTTTGCTTTTTTGTGTGTGTGTGCGTGTATTGTATGTACAGTATTTATGTACTATCACTCTATAATTTCTATCTTACTTTTTTTGCTGGTGTATTGTCTTTCTGTAAACAAAACCCTAACCTAGTAAAGCTAAATAGGGGATGGGATAGTGGATAGCAACAAGCATAACCTCCACAAACTGTAAAGCCCACTGCACAGTAAAAACTACTCAAACCACCTTCATTTTGCCTTCTCCATTGAATGAAATCTCTTTATTTTTGCTAACATGGGAGGAAAAGAAAACTCTCAATTTCTCTCATTTCTTGACAAGAACTTTAGATCAGCTAGGAAGAAAAAATAGCTGAAGTGAATTTATTCTCTCTTGAGAAGAGGTGATTAAGGGAAATATGATCAACATGTATAAATACATAAGTGGTTCATATAGTGATCTTGGTGTAATAACCACTAAGTTATTTGCTTTCAGTTCAGAGGAAAAAGGGGCACTCCTTGGGTCTGGAGGAAAAGAGATTTAGTATCCATATAAGGCTTCTACGCAGTGATGCTTGGTACACACTATGAATTTTTTTTTAGTTAAACCCAGTGGGCTAAACGAAAAAAAAAAAACTGACAGATGGCAATATTAACACAAGTGGTGCTATTGTGTTCTGACAGGGGAACCATCCCCCCACCAGCATACACATGTCAGTGCTCACAGCCATTGGCTTCCAGCACTGATCGTATGTTGATCGGATATTAGACAGGGAACTGTACACACTGCCTGATTTTGGATGTGTGTTCCGTTGGTGGGGGGGGGGGGGCAGGTTGGCCTGTGTACTAGGCTTTAGAGCTGTGAAAATGTGAAATAGACTCCCTCAAGAACTAGTTCTGGCCAGTTCAATAGATTGTTTTAACAAAGGGTTGGATGAATTCCTAAAGGAACAAAATATAACTGGATAGAGGTAATAACACTAGAGGTAGTTGATCCAGGGGTTATTCAATTGACTCCTGGGGTATTGTTTTCCCCCACTGGAGCGAATTGGATTCTGTTTTATTGGGGTTTTTTGCCTTCCTCTGGATCAATTGTGGGTATAGAATTGTGTATATGGGGGTTTTCAATATTTTTTTTCTCTGTTGGTTGAGCTGGATGGACTACTGTCTTTTTTCAACCCTGCCACTTCCTTAGGGAGGATTTACTAAGGGAGTTGATCATCTTTACCTAGTAAATTAATATTTGCATCAAGTATCCAGTAATGCGAAAAGCAAATTCCCATTCACTTGGATTACCCAATCATGTGCAGATGAAATATGTAAACAGGAATTTGCTTTTCACATAATTGAAATGAATATCCCCACAATTTGTTAAAAGCAGAATCTCAGCTCCTTTAGTAAATCAGCTATATTTCAACTCCTTTTTTCTAAGACCCTAAAAACAGCAGCTGGACAGTAAGCATCTATTATTGTACAGCTTAAAACCCTGAACAAAAAAAAAACATAAGAAGATGTCATCTGAAAATGAAGACTGCCACCCTAATGACCTCATACTATCATCACATTTATTATATTGAAGATGAATATGATAATCCCACCCAAGCTCAATAAACTATCCAAGTAGTAGAATGGTACCATCACCTCAAGTAAGATGCCAAATTCTAATATGTGTTTGGAGACTTCTGCAAAAATATATAATTTTTACAGTTTAAAGCCACCCCATCACTACAACAACTAAAAAGAAAACGTTTATCCTGCATTTTCCTTTTTTTTTATTAATTGAAGTACTAAAAATCTAGCAGAGTAAAGGGAGACAATCCAAAATTCCACAATTATATTCATGTGAATGTGTTAACTTTATTATGTAATGCAGCTAACAAAAATAAAATAATTTTCTGCAGCTAACAAAATTCAAATGAGTTGGGAAAATTGTACATCACTTACATATTTTGCTTTGCTTGGTTTGACTGACATGGTGAAACTTCAGGAGATCTTGTTTGCATTCTTCTTGATTTTTTACTTAATAAACCTTGTAGGAAACCTATTTATCATGGCTGTCACTATTAAAGAGCCATGCTTGCATACTCCTATGTACTATTTTTTGTGGAATTTGTCATTACTTGACATTTGTTATTCTACAGTGACAGTTCCCAAGATGCTGGCTGATTTTTTTTTTCCCGTTATAAGGTAATTTCTTTTGCTGGCTGCATCTTACAGATCCATTTCTTCCATTTCCTTGGAAGTACAGAAGTTATTCTGCTCACAGCAATGTCCTATGACCGATATGTGGCTATAGGAAATCCTTTGCGTTATTCCCACATTATGAATGCTAAAGTTTGTCGACATTTGGCTCTGGGTTCTTGGGTGACTGGATATTTCCACTCCCTCCTACACACAGTGATGATGGCAAAGCTTCCATTTTGTGGACCAAACCTGGTGAATCATTTTTTCTGTGACATTAAACCCGTGTTAAAGTTGGCCTCTGCTGACACATCTCTTAACCTGAAGCTTCTCACAAGGGTTACCGGAACACTGGCCACAACCACTCTGCTTTTAACTCTTCTCTCCTATCTCTTTATTAGCAAATTCGTCCTAAAAATAAAAACAACAGAAGGTCGAAAACGTGCCTTCTCCACCTGCAGTGCTCATCTTATTGTTGTGTTCCTCCTGTATGGAACAGCAATTTTTACATACATACGACCGTCCACACAAGATTCTTTGGAACAAGATCGAGCTGCGGCTGTTCTTTTTACTGTAATAACCCCAGCTCTAAACCCAAT